TCCCTACATATAGTCAAAGGATTTGATCTGTTCCCATCTGTGCATTATCTGAAAATCTAAACAATCACCATCATGCATGTGAAAATTTGAAAATAGAAAAGGAAAACTAACAAAGCTGATGGTATCTCCAGTCTCCGTGTGAAGTACTTAATAAGCAACTGTGTTATACAACCTGTGTTCAACAGACTGAAAATGATCTTTCCCAAATCCAAATGACATACTTCTGAAGCTGAAAGTGATAGATAACAGCTGGCTGAGCAAGCACTGTACTCCATGCTCCCTTTAAAAGCTGCCATTGTAAAAGACCCTCCAGGCTTTTTGTTGGTTCCCTTGCTCTTCTTCTCAAGAACTGCAAAGCTCCTCTTATTTAACAGTAATTACAAGGGGAGGTGGAGAAAAACTAACAAGAAAGAGGGGGTTTATTTTTCTAAAGATATGTAGTTAGAATATTTTTAATAGCACATCCATGGACCAAATGTTATTTTTATTTCATCACCTCAAAACATGATAAATATTTGCAAAATATTGGAAAAAAAATAAAAATTAAAACAAATTCTGAAAATTCAGTATTAGGATTCTAATTGGAAAATTACAACTAATGTGTAGTCTCTGTATATGTCATCCTGTCCTTCTCTCCAGATGACAACCATTAAGACACAAAAATACTCTCAGGACAGAAGCTGCAGAACTTGTCGTATGCGCTCACACTTCTCCAACAGGTTTGGGTCTTCTGCATCAGAACCATCAAACTCCTTCATGAAAGCTTCAGCTTTTTCCACAGTTAGGTCTCGTGCACTGCCTTGAAGCCCTTGCAGATAATCCAGTAAAATGGTGAAATACTTGTCTGGAACCTTTAAAGAAAAAAAAACCCAAACAAACAAGGAAGAAAAAAGACCCTGCTTTAATTTTCTTCCATCTCAATGCTCATTCACAATCCTGACAAACCATCATCTGAAAGATAACTAGAAGAACCACGTGGGCTTTTGCATTTGCCAGTGCCCACCTCTGAGTGAAAGTGTTTCTTGGCAAGGTTCAAGCTGCTGGGAAGGATGGACGTGGTGAGAGGACCGTCATGTGCTCAGACGGGCAAAGCATCTGAGAGGAAATTCTAAGCAGATGTGGAAATGCTGATCAGCAAATGCAAACACTCCCTGACAGTGAGCTCAAGGCTGGGAGGGTTGTTGGAAGAAAAAACCAAAATGAAACACTAGCCAAATCCTACTTTTGGAAACATGGATGCAAACCTTACTAAATTCAGGGAGAACTGCATGCACATGTCTGAGGCAAGAATTCTGCTGGAATTACTCAAAATCATTTGCTTGCTAAGATGAGGTACCACCCACCATCCAGCACTTGGACAGAATGGTCATACAAAGGAGCAGAATTTAATTTGAAAAACAAATTGAATTCAGACATATGAAAATAATTTTTAAATCATGCTGACTAAAACTGATAGGCTCTACTAACATGTCTAACATTAAAAGCAGTTTAGTCATCTATAGTTGCACTACCCCATCTCACTCCCTTTGTAATTAACTAGTCATAGGTTAAATTTTAGCTTACCTGGTACAACGTACAATTTCAATGGTCATTATATTAAATAATCTTGTTAATAACCCAGCAAAGACTTTCAAATTACTTATGCAGCATTTCAAACCAATGTATTTTCAAAAGCATCAGGTGAACAGATCCATGTTGAAGTGCATCTTTATGCTGTGTATCTGTGGAGCAGGTTTTGGCCAATGAGAGAATATTTTTGCTGTGAATCAGGAGATGTTAAAATGACCTAATCCTGCAAATACTTTCCTCCATGTTTAACTTCACGCATAGAACTTTAAAAGTCATACTTGACATGAGTCAAGTTAAACACATACGTAAGTATTTAAAGGATTGGAGACTAATTATTCGAGGGCTGTTTCAATTCTGCAAAGTATCAACATCTCAGAGAAGACAGAGCTTCAACAGATACTTAATTTACAACTTTATTCTCCATCGACATTTGGCAGCCTAACTTTGATCACTGAAACTTCTATCACTCCAAAAGAAGAGGAAGAAAGAATATTCCAACACTGCCTTCATCAATCAGGGATATTACAAAGTAATAAATCAAAGCTAAAGTCTGTGTTCAGCCTCATAACTTACAGGCTATGGGAAACTTAATTCTTCACACAAACACTTGTGTGTTAAAGAAAAAATACAGATTCTCTGAAATTTAATTTTACAGTCACTGACGCTGAAGGGAATGATACATGAAGTATTGCTATAATATATAAATCAAACATATTTAAACATACTGAAAAATATCTGTATTTTTTAAATCTTTTTACTCACAGTCAACTGGTACCAGTGACAGAGAAAAACATCCAGACACAAACAATTCCAGCATGGAAGTGCTCCTTTCATGCAGATGCTCAGTACCATGCTTTGTAAAGCTCAGCAGCATTTCTGTTTCAAACCTAAGTCAAATTATCTAAGTAATTTACACCTCTGCTTCTCAGACCTCATGGAACATTCATACTCCGTGGAATTACAGTTATTATTGTATCATTTAAGAAGTGCTTGAAGGGGCAATTAAAAACCTACTTGAAACTTAGAGATACTAAATGTACAGAGACATGTGGCTGCCTGAAGCCTAGAAAACATTAGGAATTTGGCCCTAAAGATAAGTGCCCCGGTTTTCATAAAGGTCTGGTTTTTTTGCTTTAACACAGCTAATAGGTTTGTTTCAGCAAGACTTTACAATATAGTACCATGTAGGCAAGATAATATCCTATTTCCTCCCAACTTACACATACAATAGAGCCATAGCAAGGACTGGAACATAGAAAGTGCCAGCAAAAAAAGTTAATTAAATCCAAATTTTAATTCTTCAAATACAGCAGTACAGGAGCTGAAATTTCAGGAGCTCCTGGCAAGGATTTACAAGAAGGAACACAAATCTTCTTCTAAGATCAGCTTTTGGCCTGGTTTGAAATTGGATATCAAGATCTCCTACCACGGCTCTGGCAACTGGAAATGATGGTTATGGGGATTTTTTATTATTCTTTTGTTACACTGATTGACCTTTTTCTTGTTCCTTTTTCTCTCACACACTAACTCTACCTGTGTTCTAACTAGCTAATATGCACTGGAGCTCACCAATACGGAAAGAGCCCAAAGTGAAATAATTACCATTCTTGGGAAAAGGGGGTCCACTACAAAACAGTAGCAGGGAAAGAACAGTTACGACTTTTAATCCCAGAGTTTTCAGACCTTTTAGACCTGCAGATGCCAACCTACTTTGCAAAGCAAATATAGATATCTGCACAGAGAACTTCAGGTTGCTGCTGCCAAGTTTGCTTTTCTCAGTGACCTTCTGAGGAAGCTTTAGAAATCTCTCCAGGGCCTCAGAGTCCAGAAGCTGAAGACAGCTGATACAGTTCTGGTCTAAAAATGTAGAGCCAGGTGACAAAGAACAACAAATGATCTACTGCTTATTTCATTCGGGGCCCTGAAGTAGTATATCCACTGCAGGTATACAGGCTTGGCTTGGAAGCTGTCAGTCAACCACCAGATGGATTTTAAAGGGACTTAAAAAAACCCCCTCATGTTCTAAAGAACTTGAAAACTTCAACTTATTTCCTACAGAAACAGGCCTGTCAGAAAAGGAAACTCAATTCACTCCTTTGCGTGGCTTTTCAATAGGCATCCAAGTGACACCATGAGATCAAAGATGTGGCTCAGGAAGGAAGGAAACTCATGTCTCCTTTTGTATTGTAGTCATGCTAGGATATCCAACAGATTCTGTTCTGTAATGGACAGGAAGTTGAATTTGGGTGTAAAAAAATACTCAAAAGAAGCTGGTCTGGCCTCCCTACAGTGCTTAGAGAGACAGACACTTCATCATATGCTTAATTAGAAGCACTTCAGCAGTTCTACTAACTACTGAATTTGGACACAGATGCTAATAATTATTAAAGTTCATATTCAATGCACTTCTGGTTATTAAACTACAAAATATGTGAATTTAAATAAATCACAGGACTTTCATCCGTGTGTTGGGTTTTTTTAATAGAAAGGAAGTTTTACTGAGAAATAAGGAGTTAAGCTGTGCTTGGATACATAAAACAAATGCTACTTAGAGTTAGTAATTTCACAGTATATTTCAACACAAAACCCAAAATAAACAGGCAAAAAAGTAAAAACATCATTATGCCTGTAAAACAACTTCTAGGTAGCCTTGAAGAGCATCCATTGAATGGGAAAGGTTGATAAAGACTTTCAAAGGAGAAACTAAGAAAATAGAAGACAGTGCAAACAACTGGACGCCTACTAGATACCTACAATCAAATTTGTATTCTGCAACTAATCAAATAATCACTGTATGAACATTTTTCCCTTTACAAAACTCTGCTTTTAATTATCTGATCCTCTAAAAGTTTTTCTAATCACAGAGGTAGCACCCCAAGTCAGGTGTTTAGCTTAAGAGCTGCTGAGTAATTTGGGTCAGGAAGGTTGGTGTGCTTAAATGTTGACGTGCACACATAAAATCAGCAAAAACTAACTGAATGTCAACTAAAGGAATCAGCAAGTCAGGCACTGTGCAAACAGCTCCATGTTTGTTCTATTACACAACAAATTAATGATCTGAACCTCCATTTAATACCATGATGGTCAGAGACTTACTGGAAATGCAATCTATGTTGCTTTTTTAAGCTATGAAATGAATGGATTTCAGTAATGATGCAAGCCTAGCTTCTGCATTTTTGTTATAAACAAAGTAATTGATTTATTAATTATTAAAAGCTATTAGAAAAGTGCATAGCTAGTACTAGCACTTTTTGGTTAATAAAGAATAGCTACAACTGATGCATAAAACATTTTAACATATTTGTCCTGTGGAAAAGCAACATTAATACAAACCTTCTCTTTATCATACATGTGCAGGAGAAGCCAGGTTTGTCTTGTCTTTTGAAACTTCCATTCTTCTGGGTTTTCAGACCACCTGTAGCAAATTTTTAAGAAATGGGTTACATGAAATCCTGTGTAATCAAAACATTCATTATTTGTACATTATTTCCTACAATGTCTCCAAGTGACCTTGTATGCACCACCTGATGTTTCATGACATTCTGTGACAGAGAGATGAGTATTTCGTAAGTGTGGCAAAAAAAAAAAAAAAGACAAGGGACAGCTACCTGGCTTCCATGCAAAAAAATTATAGGAAAACGTTATGGCCAAGAATGTTATAAGTTGTCATCAGCAAGAACTGATTCCTTGAACTTAAAAATCGAGTCCCACTCCCCAGCTTTGACCAGTCCTTTACCAGAGGTCATTGCTCTCATTAGACCCATGAGAACTGAGCACCCCAAATCCCTACCCCAGCTGCAGGGCTACCTGTGTATTTGGGGTGGAGTGGCTGAGGAATCAGGTTTGGGGTTTGGAAAGTTGGCATTTCACAACAAACTGAAATTCATATGAAACTAAGCAGCCTCTGAAGGTCTGGAAGAGAGCTTGGTGCTACACCAGTCCCCTCAGCAACGGCTCAAGCCCATCGCAGGCAATTGTTCTAGAGCAGAGAGGATTAATTTTTCAGAAGCATGTGTTTTAAGGCTTAGATTTGTCTAAAGGTGGGGCTCAAATATCCATGTTTATAGGATAGAAAAATGCTTTTCAAGTCCAGCCCTTCCCAGGAATTCTGATTCCAATATTCCAAAAACTTCAGGCTGCTTCAATACTGGTAAAAGTGAGCGGGTAAAACAAATGTTGAACATCTGCAAATGTTCTTTGACTGTTCAGCAAACACATTTTAAATATACAAAATTTTAGCTGGGCTAAACCAGCACATTTACGTTCATCTTGAACATGATTGTAAAGCTGGGATATTCTGTTTTAGATAAAGAGTCATTTACTTCTATAAAATCAGTGAACTAGTAAATCTCACTATAAAATGAAGACTGCTTTTTAAAAATCTGTGATGGAAAATTAGCATCTTAACAGGTACAAAATTTGTCAGTACACTGAAATGTCATTTAAAGATCCAAAAGAAAATATATAGATTAAAAAAAAAGAAAGTAAAAAGTAAATTTCACACTGATTCGATTTTTCTCTAAAGATAAACAAGTCTCCAGAGGGTAGAATGCAAGATGTCTTTAATGTTCCAGCTTATTTTGCAGAGAAACAGGGAGCACAGAAATGAATTGAAAAGCCAGCTGGGTATGAGAATTAGTATTGTTTAAACATTGTCAAGTCTAATAAAGCAAGGGAGTCCTCATATTCAATGAATGCTGCACCAGCAGATCCATTGCTCAGTCAATTCAACGGAAGAGGGGAAAAAAAATCCAAGACCACAAATTTGTACAGAAGGGTTTCACCTTGGCTTCCAAATTAATGATAAAGAACAAGCAGCTACAACTCCTCAGGGTTATCACTAGATAAATTCAATAAAAACCAACATGTAAGGTAAAAATCAGACAAATAACAGCAAGCCAGGAAGGACAGATCAAACACTAATAACCACAATATGTCATGCTTTACTTGCTCAAATTAAATCCACAAATTAACTGATTAAGAGGTTTTGGTGGAGATATTGTCAATAAATAGACAAAAGCTGGCAAAAGGAATATCAGGAGCACAAAAGGTGACTGCCAAAAGTTAGAGAATCAGATGAAAATATATTATGGGGCAACCATCCTCCCATCACCACCAACCTAGAAACCAAAGTATTTGCAAGATAATAATCATTCTACTCTTTGTGTCACTTCCCTTTGCAGGAAGGTGCCCAACTGGACACGAACGGTTGTCACAATTACACCACCTGGAGGGCAAGGAGCTGACAGAGAATGAAGGAAAAAGGGCTTTTCTGGTGGGTGCAGTTTGTGGATCAAGGTACTTGCCCATTTCTACACAATCTCTCTGTGTGCCAGGCAAACACACTAACTCCTAACTGAGAAACTAGAAATTCTGCAGGAAGTGACTTAACTTCTGGGAGTCCTTGAAAGGACCCAAAGACAACAACAATGGTGCTTGCTGTTAAGAGAAACCCACTCTTTTATGGGGTTCATCCTTCTGAACAGTTACATGGAAGATGCCATATGAAATGCTGTCTGTTTGCACAGCACAAAGAAGAGAGTGGATTTAGAATTCTTTTTACCACGAAATAAGCCTGGAAGCAGTTTACATTATAACCTTTGCAAGATGACAAGAACAAGCTGAATGGCAGATCTGTGACTGTGTCCTGTGAAAACAGTCCCTCTTCTCATGAAACCTTTCCCACTTTGTTACTTCTATGAAGTGTACTATGCATTTATACAATTGTGATCATATTCCTTGGTCAGACACACCACATAGAGCTCTGAATATTTTACTCACTGCTAATTTTGTTTCTATCACTTGGGCTATCACCTGAGTATTGCTGGGCATTGACTTGAAAAATCCACCCTGATTTCACTAATCTATAAAGCTATAGGATGTTAAAAAAATCTTTATTACCTAGTTTATAAACAACTGAGAGCAACAAATGAGTGCACTATAAGGTTAATTGCTCATATTAGTCTATTACCAAAACCATATGCTCTCTTCTGCACGTTAAGACAAGCCTTTATACTCCTGTATCTATAATCCCACAGCAACTTTCACTCTAGTCAATTCTCTTGCAGAAACAAACAGAAGTTTCAGCTAAACTTCCTGCAAGGTTTCGCTCTATATACAACATAATTATTCAGATAAACAACAAATACTTTAACATAATCAACCACAGAAAGCACATTTGTGCTCATTATAGCACCAGAGCCTCACAAACTCTTTCTTTTGGTTTGCTCTCTGTCCTATTAGAATCAAATGCTAAATGAGCATGGTAAAAAAAGCAGTGTTTTCCTTAAAAGATTATGGGTGTTCTCATATTTTCAGAAAATGCTCCCAAGTTTTTAACTGGTTCTCTATCCATGATCCCTCTCTTGGCTTTGATTCCTATCAAAGAACATGGGCAAAACACTCATGATAACGGATGCACAATCTTTAAAGCAGAGAACATGGCAAACATGTTCTGGACCCTCCAAACAGTTAATAAAATAGAATTTTTCCACTGCTTCCTATGACAGCTTTTTTTCCTATGACAGCATTAAGACCTATGGAAAATATCATCCCATGACAAAGTGAGAGGGGTATCCCCTTTTATCAGAATGACATCATTGGTGCATTTTTAGAAATGCTCAACTTTTAAACTACCAAAGTTAAAGCTTTTTAACATGCTGTAAATGAGAGAGGCCTCATTTTGCTGTTTATATGCAGATAAGCTTCCTTGACATACTACAGCAGCAGAAAAGGCTTTTCCTTTAGTGATTAAATACACAAAGTAAGGCAAAGTACATTCTAGTTTAAAGAAACCTTTTTATAGATAATCACAACCTCTCCTACAGTTTGGATTAATTTGGTAGCCTTCAGAAGTATCTATGTACAGATCTAACATAAACCATGGAAGTGGATGGAAAATCTCCATGTATAAAATGTGCATTTTTCCAGTGTGCCTCAGGCTAATTTGCAATATATTGTACAAACACTAATTGCCTTCTTTACACAGTTCATGTTGGAATCTTTCTTATGAGCTCTAGCTCATTGGAAAAACACATTCATTTACTTTAGTTAAAGAGGAATGTTATGTTTGTGCAAATGATCTTCCTAAATAGCTTTGAAATTGAAGATACAGAGGGAATTAATCAAATGAATCAAGCAGCTTAGGGAATTTTACATTTGGGCTTTTGAGAGTCTTATGTAGAAAAGCTGCCCAAGATTCTCCCTGGTCTAGCTCACAAATGACTTTTCGTCTCTACATTAAAGCAATCTCACACAAATTTATTCCCAGAACTGGGGGATTTGGGCAGCATAAGTAGGCAAACAGAAGACAAGTGGTAGCGTGCAGGGCAGAGCACCCTCTGGGATGTCCTAGTCAAAAGAGAAGAGAAAGTCATCAAATTGGTTCCAGAAACACAGTAAGAAAAAACCACTATTTTTACAAACTGGAATCAGGAAGAGAACACAATGCATCTGCTCAGACTGCTGGCCAGGACAAACTGCCACAAAGTTGTTACAAATATTAAATAATCTCTTATGTGTAGAAAAGCACTGTGCTGAGAACCAACTGTTTCACTCATTCAACTTGGAAAGATTATTGGGTTGGAGACAAGCCTTGGGAAATCAGAAAGACAGACATGTGACTGCTGATAACCTTCCAGAAGACAGAAGCTCTGCTGCATGCCAAAAGTAAGGACACCCACATTCATCTGTTTCTACTGTTCCAGTTTTGTGCTGTTGATGGCCCAGCCCACCTTGGATACACCTTCCAGCCTGGATATCTACCCAAAGTAAAGCAGACTGCCACCAAATTTAGATTTTTCCAGCATACAGCCCGGGGTTAGCATCAGGGAATTAATCTGAAATGTTTTCCTAGCCCTGAGGACCAGGTCAGACTGCAGCCCCCTCTTGCTCTCCTGTCATTTACCCATGAGGACGCTCACATCTTACTCTCTGAAGCTTCACTGAATCTCAAAGAAGTGACAGAGCATCAGGTCTGGTTTATTACACCACATTCCAAGATCTATTGAAAATGTTAAAAGCAGCAAACTCCAGCACTGTACAAAAGTTGTCACATTCTTCCCACCTCATTTATTTGAGTTCTTTTCTGTTTTGATACCCTCAGTTATTCACCACCCTGAAACCTGTCTTGAGGGATTACCTGTGTTCTTCTATGTGCCCCACAAGAAAGGCTGAACAGAAGTTATGGCTTGTGATTAAGGCTTGCAGGAATAAAGTTAAGCATTTTATTCCCCAAGCTCTCTGAAAACAGTGCACAAGTTAAGATTTCTGTGCTCACTACTCTATCCATAAAACGTGGGTAACAGGTGCTTCCTCAATAAAGAACAAAAGTACTCTTTAAAAATTCCTTTTAAGATATTTCAAGCCTTGCTGAACCCCTTGGCACTCCAGTGATCTGCTGTCATATTTCACAAT